TGGGTACCTCTAAGAATCAGAAGCACTAAGTAACTATGGCTATAGTATGGGGCTAATCTGTCATAATAAACGACCTTGGGTTTTGAATTGAGGATTTACAGATCCATATCACAACATCATTCAATCTGTTGAGGACTGTATAGGGATCCTCCCAATGCGACTGCAGTTTGGGAGAAACGCCCTTACGACGACATGGATTCCACAGCCAATTCTTGTCATTTTCCTGTCCGTCGAGATGTGCTCGGTGGCTCTTGCATCGTAACTCTTCTGCATTCTGTCCATCGAGATGTTGATCTGTTCCCGGGCAAACCTGCGTACTGTTTCCAAACCGGGCCTAGGAGGTTTTGCACGTACTCCTCAGGCGAAGGAATGTACATCCGCAGGGCGGCCGATGATCAGGTCAGTTGGCACGAAGAGCAGGTCAGTCGCGAACGAAGGGCATATGGCATGGAGAATAACCTGCGCTCTCGAGGACGGCACTACGGTAAGCAAGCAGGAACAGGGGCAGCTTGCGATCCCAGTCTTCTTGATTCTTGGAAACTATGAGCGAAAGGTAGTTCAGAATTGTGCGGTTATCGCTCTCTACCAAGCCATCAGACTGCGGATGTAACGGGGTAGTCTGCGTATTCTTACTTTCCAATAAGTCACAGAGTCGCTTGCAAACAGCCGAAGTGTCCCTACATTGATCGGAAGGAATCTGGAGGGTATGAAAAACGTAGACACCCAATTCTGTAACCGAACTTCAGTTGTCGTGACAGCCTTTGGTTTGGAATTCGGTACCCTTGGGCTACTTCGTACAATGCCCCGTGGTAACTAGAATGTATTTGTTGCCATTCGTGGTCCGTTGAAAATGTCCAAGTATGTCGAGATTGGTTGCGGAAGCATCACAAGATCGGCACCATTTCTCAGCATCGATTCTCGCCGAACTCTAGAAGTACTCTCGAAGCTTGTTTTGTGTCTTCATATAGTCTAAATGCCCTCCTGTGTATTTCCTTCAGAATATTAGGTATTCGATTTAGAGGAAGCAGCAGCTGCCATATCTTACTAGTTCATTTGTCGCTTTCCTATAATCGATATAAGACTCCATTTCGGAAGTGGAGTGAGGTCAGCCATTACCTTTTATTTACAGGACTGACGATGGAAATGTCCTGCTACTTGGGTTTTGTACTGTATGATTCTTTCAGCTCTATTATTGGCTTAATGTCAAGATTCTCTAACTTTTTCATCAATCCACGGGTCTGGACCGATCACACTTTCTTAACTGGCCACTGAATTTCAGAAATCCTGAAGGACAGATAGCCAGATGGATTCAAAGACTCCAGGAATATGACTTTGAGATAAAACATTGTAAAGGCTTCTCCCACGAAAATGCGGATGCTTTATACAGGAAGCTTTGTTCTGCACACTGCAGTCATTGACCAAGAGGGTGAATCCTAACATCCGGCAAATAATGTCTTCAGCATCAGCCGATCCAGATCCTTGAAGTGATGAGAAAGTTAGAGAAGACCAATTGGCAAATCTTAACATTAAGCCAATAATAGAGCTGAAGGAATCATCCAGTACAAAACCCAAGTAGAAGGACATTTCCATCTTCACTCCTACAACTGAAAGGTAATTGGTTCTCTAAGACTCACTCCACTTCCAAAATGAAGTCTTAAATCGATTATGGGAAAATGACGATAGAACTAATAAGAGATCGCAGCTCCTGCTTCCTCTAAACCGAATACCTAATTTTCTGAGGGAAATATACTGGGGGGCATTTCGGCTGTATGAAGACAAAAACAAGGTTCGAGAGTGATTCTTCTGGAGTTCGGCGCGAATCGGTATTGAATGAGCCGATCTTGTGGTGCTTGTGCAGCCAAGAAATGACCGAAGGGACATAGCCGGGAAAGGCTGCATCTATACAATGTAGGAGCGCCTTTTCGAGCGAATTGTCCTCGACATACTTGTACTTTTTCTATGGTCCACCGATGGCAACAAATACATCCTTGTTGTCATGGATTACTTTACGAAGTGGCCCGAAGCGTGAGCAAATTCAGACCAAGAGTTTGTCATGACAGCTGAAGTTCTGTTAAAGAACTGAGTGTCCAGGTTTGTTTATTTTTGTGGAAATTTTTAAAAAAATGTCCCAGAGCTTATGGGCTAACTTAATACTCAAAACATTGAAGAGAAATTGAAAGGTCTTTTATTTTTAATTTATCAATATAGTTTGCATTTTGTTGTCTGAATATTATTTTTTGTTCATTAAATACTATTTCTGTTGCTTGCGTTTCATATTATACTCCCTCCCCTCTGCAACATAGTGAAGATAGAGCAGGATTTGTTTTGCCGTTGCTAAACCCTCATGGCTTTTCTGAAAACATTACTTGCAGAGTTTTTCAATTATCTCTCAGAAACTTAATAAAATTGCTTGATTGAATTATACTTGAAGTTCTGTGGACTAAATGAATTCATTAACCATTCATGTGCAAAATTTCGAACCGACACTTCCGACAAATATTCATAAAAGCATTCATTTTCAATTTTCAATTTTCTTTTAATTTCAAATATATATATATATGTGCAGGGTGTCCATAATTAAACTTGAAATTTGCCAGCAGTCTGTAGCAGAATTGCATGAAAATTGGGTAATGACAGAATGAAATGATGGGAATTTTATCGAGGGGGAAAAACAATGAGTTTCAAAAACCACCGCTAGATGGCGTTGTGCAATGCAGACTATTGACACATGCAAATGTCGTAACCATAGGTAATCCTGTGCATTCGCACAGCAGTCCTATAAAGATGCGAGAGGCGAACGCTGTCATGCTCGTTTCTAAGTCAAGGAAGATGACGTTGACTCCCAGGAACGTGCTTTACTGCTGACAATTGTTTTACCAACACGGAGACTCTGCTACCGAAGCTTTTGCGGAAATTTAGGTCTCGGGGAAGCGGTTACAAAACGTTTTAATCACTAGTCAAGAACTAACGAGCATGATTAGGTAATTTGAAGCAACGGGAACATTGGGGTTCAGGCAGGAAGGGGATGAAAGTGTGTTGCAGCACAGGTAGTTGATGATGTAGCGACGCAAATGAAGGAAGATAGATCGCAAACCATCGGCAGCACTAATATTCATCGTGTTACATCTGTTGCAAGCTCGTTCCACGGTTCATAAGATTCTTCAACTTCAATAGGTCTTACGCTACTATTCCTATAAACTGTCGTTATTGCAGCAGCTGTTACCAGCTGACCTGGATAGTCGATAAACATTTCGCTGCGGCTTCTTGCGCGAGTTGAGCTCTAGAAGGAATGGCCATGGAAAACGTTTTGTGGACCGACGAGACCCACTTTCATATGGAAGATGCGGTTAAACACACAGTTGCCGTATTTGGGTTGCTACAAATCGACATTAATTCGTACAAATTCCATTACACTCTTTGCATGTAACGATTTGATGCGGCTTTACTGCAGTCTTCATTGTGGATCCGCCTTTTTTTTTTTTTTTTTTTTTTTTTTTTTTTTTTTTTTGAGGGCACAGCGCCACAGGGCCTCTGCCATACACCATCACCGGTCAACGACACGCTTCATTATTAGAGCAATCTGTTATTCCGGCTCTTCAGGCAAGGCGATGTCATACAACCACAGTGTTTATGCAGGATGGTGGTCCTCCTCACATCGACCGTTGTGTGAAACAAGTGCTCTGCCACCATTTCGATGACGACAGAATCATCAGCCGGCAGTTTCCTACAGCTTGGCCTCCTAGATCCCCCGACATGAATCCTTGCGACTTTTGACTCTGAGAATACCTCAAGGCCATAGTCTACCGTGATCCCATCACATTTGTATCCGACCTTAAAGAAAGCATAGAACTCCATGTGCGTAACATTTCCCAATTCATGCTGCTTTCAACAGTCGAGCATAAGAACTTACACTTCCAAATGGTAGCAGAAAATGTGGACATCATATCGAGCATGTTTTGTAAACTTTTGTAGATTATTTATATGTTCTTAATAAAGCTAAGATAAGCCACCTAGGGGTGGTTTTTTTAAACTCATTGTTTTCTCCCCTCGTTAAAATTCCCATCATTTCATTCTGCTGTATAGTTTTTGCTACAGAATGCTTGCAAATTTCAAGTTTAATTATGGACACCCATACATAATATATTGCCTCCTTCCGGGTGTGTACTCCTTTTTTTATAAATCTATATTAATACATATATATTTTATATTGATATTGTTTTGTTATATGGATATATATACCATATAACAATATAATAATTAAAATCAAATTTACCCCTTTATTATCTGTCTCTTACTGTTAATAAAGCAGTGTGTGAAAGTTAATAAAGCAGTTTTGTTGAAAGTACTAATTTTTAGTTGTTGATTAACAAACTTTACATTCGGTACTTAGAGAAAGTATTATGTATGTATATTCGTATATATATTCAGTACGTAGAATGTTTGTTTATTTATGGATAGTTTATTTATAGAAGTATGTTTAGTTGCTTTTGCTGTTTTATATCTGGATCGAACTGACGTGGCTTAAATCAGCTTCAAATATACAGGAACTTGCAAAAAAGATTTAAAGTATTCCCTTCTGTGTAAGTTCGAGACACTTTTATAATTAATGCTTGTTTTTCCCGAAATTCCCAAAGCTTATGCATCTCAAAATTGACTTATTGATGCCAAACACACTGTCGAGTGACTTTCTACTGGAGATAAATAAGAATCATCGATCCTTAAAAATTGCACCTAGCCACGAAGCAGCTCTGTTACGTAATGAGCCTGTTCTTAAGCCTATTTTATCCCTCCGTGCATTTCAAAACTCTAAATGAATTATAAAATATTATTTATGCTTGAAAATGTCATTAATACATGTTGCAATATCTCTTCCTGATGAAGTTTACGTTAATAAGATGAAGATATTTTTTCTAATATATAGATAGATACATCATCAGTTTTTACTTTCAAATGTTTATAAAGTATTTCCTGTTTTCTGAAGATTAAGGAAACACAAAATATTTTGGTGTGCATTTTTTATTGAATTGTCATTTTGAAATTTACACTGATGTTCTTGGTTTTCTTCATAGAGCTATTACATTAAATGACCCAATAATACTTTAAAGTTAATTTTTTAAATTTTTAACTTAATATTATTATAAATAAAATTGACTTTTTAAAGAAACAGAGAAGTAAATAAAAGTTTATCATCTAAGAGTACATTTTTCTTTGTTTTAGAGAAACATTCAGCAAACTAAATCTTTGGCTAGAGTATCATTGAAGAAGCTATAACCTTTCAAGCGTCGTGGTGCCCTACACACAGTTTCAGCGAGCCCATATGCATTAGCTCCACACATCTGAGCTGGTTCTTTCAGCCATCTTAAATTGCAATCACATGATAGAGGAAGAGCTAGAAAGCAAACCAAAAGAGAAATTAGGTTAATTCTTAAAATAAAATAACTGAACTTGCTTGGAATACACAAGTATTGTTGCATTCCTGAAATCAAACTCGGAACTTAGATCTTAATTGCATTTGACTGCCGAGAACGTTTTTCCTATATACTTAAAAGTCTTTGAGGTATTCTTACTATTTTACATGGTAATTATTTAAAAAGCACGGATATGTTTTTCTCTCAATGAAAACGTAGCTAACTCTCTGAGATAACATATCGTGCATTTAATATTATTAGAAGGTGGCATTACAGTTATAGTAAAGTCCTACCTAGCCGAAAAGATAAATCGTTGCGTTCTATAGGTTCGGGGATTTGGATGACAATACTTGATGAAGAATCAAAACACAATTTATTCGCCATATTACACAGGGCAGTTCCCAAGACATGTTTACAGTCTTCGAAAAACTAAGATAAATACGCTGAATCAATCAGCAATACAGCCTGCATGCTACAATGTTAAAGACAGCTTCACGGCAAAGCACTTAAAATACAGCTCCCGACTCGGTTCGGTCGCTCTCAAGCTATTCTCTGAACTCAAAGCACTACTACTGAATTCAACATACTCTAGATACTCCTCACGATACACTGCTACTCCGGGTACAGGCAGAATATATAAAGATTTTGATCTCCTTCTGGAAAATTCTTGGGAAAACCTATAAGAATTCGATCTAGAACGTTCTCGCTCCGTCTATGGCATATCGCCAAAATGTCTCCAAATGGGCGTTTTCACGCCTAATTCTGGCAACCGTACCCTTCCTTGCAGCCCTAAACTCGCTTTGGAAAAAAGCTATTTTACCAGCAGCTGGGCATTTCGTAACAAAACATTAAGATTAACTCTGTAAATTCGAAAACCATCAATTCTAAATTTTAATGAAATTTATTTTTATTTTCTCCTATTCAAAAATAAGAACATGTTTTATGACTCAAACATGTGTAATTGTGGCAACCGTATCTTTCCTTGTCTTTTTCTGGCAACCATAAACTCGCTTTGCAAAGAAGCTATTTTACAAGCAGCTGGGCATTTCGTAACAATACATTATGATTAAATCTGTAAATTCGAAAACATCAATTCTAAATTTTAATAAAATTTATTTTTATTTTTTCCTCTTCAAAAATAAGAACATGCTTTATGACTCAAACATGTGATCGCAATATACTGGACTGCGATGGCAGTTCAGTTGTTTCTGTGAAGTAGTTATGTAAATATTATAGGCTGCAATATGAATAAATAGTGAGCTCTGAACACTCTCTCGGGATGATTTTAAATATTTTCATCCTACCTTTATAGATTACGTCAATTAAAATTTGCGCTGCACCAAAACATTTTTCTGGAAGTAACACTTTTCGAAAAATGGAAGCAACAAATATTTTAGTAAACTCTGATAAAATATAGTAGTATATTCCAAGTAAACTTTTGAGCGTGTTTCTGAGAAATAAGATATTTTTACCTTGCAAAATGGCGGAAGAAAAGTACACATAAGTAAGTTTTTTAATATATTTTCTTCCAATCATGAAATAAAGTCTGATAACAGATGATACCTAAAACCTATATCCAAATTAGTTCGGGTAAACCGTATTCTATTGCTGAAACAAATAGCGTACTGATAAATATTAGGATAACCTAATTTTTGCTTCAGTTTTTTTCCCTGCCAAACAGATCTGTCACATTATGGGAATAATTAATATAATGCTCAATCTGAAGCTACACATTTTGAAGTAGAATTAGCAGAAACGTTAGTTTCTTTTTTGACGTCGTTAAAGCTAAGCGTTTGGAAATCTTTTCAGTGTTCGTAAATCACACATGATCATGCATGATCAACCACATTCTAAACTAAAAAGAGTTACAAACTTAAGAATTTTTACAACTGTTTTCAACTGATAGAACATATCTAAAAATTCATGAAAGAAATTATAACTTAATGCGCAATTTAGAGAACAATTTCCAGATAGGCATTTCACAGAATATTTCAAGACTTTATATATTTCGGCGAACTCACTATAGATTCACTTGTGAATCCCTCTTCCAAGTAGTAAAGATTTTCTATCAGTATTTTCTATCTAAAAAAAGCTTTTATTCTCAGAACATTCTACCTGACAAAAACTTTGCGCAGAAGTACTTTGGAGGGAATTTATACAAGTACTACGTAAGATACCTAAATATTTAAATCTTTAAGTATACAAGCAAACTGAAATAAAAGCCATTTTAATAGTTTTCTACTGCAATCTAGCTCACATTTGTTACTACAGTGTCTCGTAAAACAACTGGTGTCCGCTGAAAACGTTGCGGCAAAAACATCACGAACAAAAACGACGCGGAGAAAACAATGCAAGGAGAAAACGTAGGGGTTCAAAACATCGTGGAGAAAACATCGCAAATATAAAACATTGTGGTACAAAATATCGTGGTCGAAATTAAAGCGGTTCAAAAATTTCGCAGTTTAAAAACATCGCCGTCAAAACTATCGTGGTAAAAAATAAAGTACATACAAATCATCGCATGACGATTACAATTAAGGCAACTTAAAAAGCTTAATAGAATTTTAAATTTATATATTTAATTAACAAAGGTCATTAATAAATTAAGCTTTCTTTTTAAAATTTCACTGATAATTTTTCATGAAAAATACAGTCTAAAAATGCTTAAAAAGAGAGAGATGAATAACTGCAAGAGGTTACCTCTATAAAAATTGCTTAGTTAATGATCAAATTATTTTCTTTCTCATTTGTTATTCTGATACTGTTTTAAAGAATATGATTATGTTAAGTATGTAACCTAGTCAAGAATGCCACCTTCTTTGACTAATTCCATAAAAACAGTCGAGTCATAATCAGGGAAAAGCTTAATAGACTGCTATGTAGTTTGACATTAAAATCTAGAACATTCCTCTTTCTCATCACAGTTTTGGGAAATTGGGCTTTTTTTAGTAAAGCTCTGTGCCGACCAGAGAAGTAGATAAATTGCGACGGAACAACATCTCTGAAACTCAGTTTTTTCTCTCGATGGTCTCCAGAGAGGTTTAGTCTCGATGGTCTTCACGAATTTTAAGAATACTGATGCATAAAACTTTTAGAAACCACAACTTATTCAAGCACCTCCCATTCTTCGGTGCAATTACAGGTACCCGCTTTTTGTTCCGTGAAACTACAGATGCTCGCTTTTGCTGAAAAAATCAACATTGCATATGAGAAGAGCAACAAAATTTCCTACGCTCCATCTTCACTTCACAGAGTCGCCTCTCTGGAGACTATCGAGAGAAAAAAAAAACTAAGTTTACCTTAAGACGTTGGTCCATCGCAGCTTATCTACCTCTCTGGTCGGGGCGTACTGATAAGTATTCTCACTAAAGAAGCCCAAATTTCCCAAAACTGCGATGAGAAAGAAGAATTTTCTTGATTTTAATGCCAAAATGCCGCAGTTTCTTTATACCTGGATTTACGTACTTTGAATATATTGTCTTAATTTCTCCGACATATTTCAAAATGCGCGCATATATACTTTCTTAAAGACATCAGAAAAATATTCTAAGTCTTATACACGATCTTGCCGGACAGAAGACAGACTAGTAAGCATTCATTCACAGTATAAAGAAAAGTATTTGCAGAAGCAAAATAGGCTCTTGAAGATAATAATAATGCTGTTCACATGTTTTAGTTGAGAATAATCCGTTTACACATACGATTTTATGCCGGTGAGTCTATGCTAGTACTTTTCTTCCAGGCATGATTACTGACCTGTCTTGTTTAGCCGCATTGTCCTGGATATGTGGCGGACAAAATACATGTAATTAGATCTTTCCATATTCGCATACTAACATACTAACAATGATTAGTATCACTTAGATAGAGGCGTTGTACATGAGACAGAAAAGCTCCGTGGCCAGTAAGATGCTGCTTCAGAGCTGAGTTCCTACTGAAATTCAGAAAAGAAGATTAAGTCTGCTCTTCTGTGGTGTGCATGTTCAATTTACTCTGCCATTTATTGAGAAAATGCTGGAACGTAAATAGTTTTAGGTGTTACACAGGAAGAGTAATGCTAAATCGTGTAACATTTAGAGAAAAGGCGAAGGATTTATCTATTTCTTATTTCTTCCACTGTCTCCTTTCTTTTAACGGAGGCCCAGTTGAATCTTTTTTCTTTAATAAATATTTGGTGCTGGTACAGTAAATAACAGCTAAATCTATTGTATAGTACGAATTACTTGCACCTGGATGGTAAAGCATCCCTACTATTTTTTATTCATATTTTGCGTGGATCAGCATGTGAGAACAATGAGCAGTTGTTTTGATGGTTACAGATATAAACTTGCATTTTTTAGAAGGAAATGTCATTGTGTTATAACAGAGTTCTCATCTGCGACATCAAATCATTATCACAAGTGGATGTCCGAGAAAATATTCTTTCCTCTACTATTTTGTACTAAATCCAGAGAATATGAGCAGAGTACTTCCAAAGCGTATCTGTGTTCTGTTCATAGCTACAACTTTATAAACTTACTATGAAGAAGCCAAGAGTATTTATTTATTTACTATTATTCCGCCTGCTTCACCTCTCAATTGGCATTACAAATCAGTCATGCTATCTTGATCGTTACACCAGCAACCATGCCAAGAGAGTATACCATTCGTGATGACTCTCGGGTATTGCAATTAAATTACTGTTTACCGTGGAGTCCGAATGAGACTTAAGCATATTCAATGTTTGGCACGATTGGCTGAATTGCTTTAGGCAACCTTAAGTTTCCCCAATTGCATCTTTAATCAGGATGGCGAAATCATCTGTATCGTTATGCAAGAAGATCCACATCTTTTTCAAAAATTTCAAATTACTCAATATTGGTCGACAGTATAAGGTATTCGTGTATTGAGGAAACGTGTGCTGTTTATTAAAATCTCATCGTCAACTGGATCACATGGGTTGACAACTCACTAAAGTTTTTAATTTTCTCTTTTATATTCC